AAACAGGAGAACTCTGGCAGATCTCACACCAGCAATTAAGAGCATGGCTCAGGGGTGACACCCAAATGATCGATCAGCACTGGTCTCTTGGCCCTACACATTACAAAGGGACCCAATGAGTCCAGCCGGTATGGCTCAGTGGCTGAGCATTGACCCATGCACCAAGAGGTCACTGGTTTGATTCCAGGTCAGGGCACATGCCCAGGTTGTGGGCCCAATCCCCAGTGGGGGAGGCATGCAAAAGATGGCCAATCGATGTTCTCTCTCATTGATGTTTCTATCTCTCTCCCTCTCACTTCCCCTTTCTATCTCAAATCAATAAATAAGAAAAAACAAACAAACAAACAAACAAAAAAACAAACAGACAAAAAAACAAAGGGACCCAGCAATCCTCTCTTCCTATGAGCCCATAGTGGGGGACTAAACACTGTGGTAAACAGTGCCACTGGGACCGTTACTTTCTAGGACCCAGACTCTGAAATGGGTATGGCAGACCTACCTGGTAGTGTCTGGGCCCAAGAGGGATCACATACATGTCATTCTCCTTGTATCACTGCCCTGCCCTGGACTGATAGGTTCTGTGGGAAGCCTGGAAGTTAGGATACTGAGAACGAATTCCTTTGCACATCTCCCTGGCATACATGTGAGAGTCCCAGTTCTGTCCCGTCTGCTGCAACTTTCTGACCTAGTGGAGGGTGCCTCTGCCTTCCCCAGGCCACACAGGAATGAATGAAGCAATCCTTCAGGGAGATCTGTATTCCTGAGGGTTTTCTTGGCCCTCGTGTATTTTTGCTTCTGAAATGGGACCCCAGGGTTGGTAGCATCTCTCGAGTCACCTCCACAGCACAAACTGTAACATGGCTGATAGAGGGTCAGAAAACTGGAACCTGACTCATCTGAGGACTCAGGTGGGCTCGTGAAGTCATTACTGATGAAGAATGACCTACAGGCTGTTTAAAGATAGCTCTTTGCTACGCTGTTCAGTTTTTTCATCAATGCACTTGAAGAATTTTTTAATAACATCTTCTGATTTACCACTTGTCTTTGTTTTTAATATTGAGGAAAAACAGAGACTGAAGTGACTTGAATAGTGATGGGCGTGGGGCTATTAACAGTTATAGTCACGCTGTTTTGCAGCTACACTTTGCTTGTCTTGGAGGCACTTATAAAAGGCACCACGGAACCTGACGAGAGCAACTACCGAGTCGTGACAGGAAGCCAACCTTACAAGTGTTGTTTTGTAATGTTCTGTTTGCTAAAATACACATTGATTTCCACCACATTTCTTGATGACAGTGTGGCCAAGCGAACAGCTCTCTGGCTCATGGCACTGCTTGAACTTCACGAATGAGGGAGAGAAAAGGGAATGATGACAGGCGTTTACTGAAGTCCCAAGTAGGCACGGCCACCTGCCAGGTGCCTCCCACTTGTACGTTCTTCTGACATCCTCACCAGCTGCAGATGTAGCCTTTCCCTTCGTCCACACATCCCTCTCACAGGAGGGAAATCAAAGGTTAAATAACCTCCCCAAGGTCCAACAGCTTTCAGAGCCAGAAGTTGGAACCATGTGATACGAAAGCCCATGTGAGTTCTGTTGAACCGACAAACTTCTCCAGTGACCTGTGTTCTATGTGGTCAAACGATTGGATGGTTTCTGCTCCTGATCTCATGTATCCCTTATATTTATATAGTATGTTATTTTTTTTCCTTTACTGATTTTTTTTAGAGAGAGAGAGAAAGTGAGAGGGAGAGAGAGACAGACACATTGATGAGAGAACATCGATTGGTCACCTCCTGCATGCCCCCCACTGGGGATCGGTCCCACAACCTGGGCATGTGTCCTGACCGGGAATTGAACCAGCTACCTCTTGGTGCATGGGTCAGTACTCAACAACTGAGCCACACCGACCAGACTAATATGTTATTATTTGTAAAGAGCTCTTGTATTAATCATATTGTTTCAGTCTTACAAAGGCCCTCTGGAGTATGCAAAGCTGGTACCCTACCCCAATAATATATGATTAAGAAATGGGTCAAAAAAGTTAAGCAAAATGCCCACGATCAGTCAGGGCTGACTCGGAAGCCGAGGTTTTTCTCTCTTACATCTTCTCTTTTCTGGACCCAAGGACCGTGAGAGTTTATTTCCATGACAACTGAGCATGATGGATTCAAACCTGGGCAACTATATGGGCATTTGCCACAAGACTTATAATGAACTGAGACAAAGCAGTTAGCCACAGATTATAATGCCACTGTGGTCCCATGACAAATGACAAAGAGGTTGCAGTAATGAAATTTTATGCGAGTCAAGAGACCACATCTGAGGTCTAGCACAGCCACATTTACCGCGGCAGGAAACACAGTGAAACCTCTGGGTAAGGGTCTCCGCTGACGCTGGCCGCGTGCTAGCAGGATTAGGAAGATCTCTCTGAAACAGTGATTACGGTGGCAAATGTGTGGAGCCTCAGATAAGAACCAGATGTTTATTCTGGCAGAGATTAAATCTTTTCTTTCCCTGAATCTATTATGGATCTTGCAGAGAATCTGCCCAAGAATATATCTTGCTGATCAGCCGGCTCACTGAGCCAGAACTCCACCTTGCCACTGCTGTGGCTGCAAAGCTGCAGAAGGCTAGTTTGAAGTTCTCTTCTCTCCCCCTGAAACTGTTCTCCATCCAGGATTAATCAGTGACTCAGAGGTGGGTTGAATCACCAGCAGTTCTTTCCATGCATCCAGGATTTAGACAGTGGTTCCCCATTGAAGAGCAGCGGCGTGATGAGCAGCCCACATTTGTGGAGTGGGCAGAGAGAATGGGTGTCTGCAGTCACAGCTTCTGAACTCCCTCGGTCCTTCCATTCTGCTAAACAGATCCTGACTCAGGTTACTATAGCTGTGCTTATTTAGGAAGGAGGGTGACTAGGTACCAACACACACACACACACACACACACACACACGCGCGCGCCCTTAGACATGAATGCCAATTGTTTAAGTAAGAAAAAGTGAAAATGTCATATTGCCATTTCTGAATTCCTAGCGAATTAAGGAGTAAGACTAAAATGGAACATAATATTATTAATGATAGGCGTGAAAGGTGCAAAAAAACTATCATTAGGTACAGTTAGCCACACGTCGTGTTTTAATGTGAGGCACTTTGTTGAGTGCTGAAGATGCAGAGGTGGAAATCAGATGGAACCAAGCTGAAAACATTGTGCCCCTGGAAACAGGGATTTACGAACTCATGAGTGCATGTGGTCACTGTAGGGAGGCCCCGGAGTCGCTTTTCCTGGAGAACAGAAAGTGGGAGTCGCAGGCATTGTTTCACACATGTGCTACGCTGCAGGGCACAGAGGAAGCAATGATGTCCAGCCTGTATCTCAGCATCCCCGCACACTGCAAGGAGCCTAGAGTCCTCCTTTCTCAGATCAAGACTCCTGGGTGTTTGTCCATCCTTTTGTTGAGCACAAGGTGTGTTCATATACTAAAGGAAAATTGGCAAGTGGAGGAAAGCCTGTCTTTTGAAAAAATACGTGAAGCGTACCAAACTCTATGGAGACCAGTGCCTAAAATCTCACTAGAAGTCGTAATTTGTTAACTTTAAGTACAGTAACTGCTGTACATTGTGTTTATGTATTGAATGAATGAATGAACCAAATTACTAAATCTGAGGTTCAGTAAAATCTTTCTTCTTAGTTCATGTGGATTCTAGACTTCTTTTCCCATAACCGTCTCTTTCTTCTCTTCCTCCTCCCCTCCTTCTCCTCCCAAACCCCCTCACCTTCCTCCTCCTCCTCCTTGTCCTTCTTTTTCTTCTACTTCTTGAATTAGGAAACAGAGGATAACAGACTGTGTGAACAAATATTGTGACTCAGTCTTGTAGAACGTCAGAATTACAACTAAATTGTATTATCCATCAATGTCCAACCTATTGCTTAGCCAATAAGTCAGACTATGCCTTAGTCCGTTTTTCCTGGCGTGCTGGGATGCCCTTCCAAGAGGCTGAGAGACCGATTATGTGTGATCAGTAAGGTTACCTTCATTTTATGTCTCATTGTCATGCTAATTCCAACTCTTAGTTATAACCAGCTATTAGAGGAGAAGAGTAAGAGTTTTCATAGCAGTATTACTTATGCCTCCACGTTTCACTTCCTAGGTGGTGCTCTCCACCCGCACCTTCACCACCACCAGCAGCCCCTCCACTGTCACAGCCTTAGTCTCCTGGAATTCCTCGTGTTTTCCCTCACAGAAGTCCTTTTGGACCACAGAGATCTCTTCTGCTGTGCAACATAAAGCTAGCACACTGACTATTACATCCCTTTATGGATTAACCTGAGGGGTAGGGCTACGAGTGTGGGAAGGCTGACAGCCATCTGACTCTGAAAACCCCAGCTCAGTTTCACTGGCCTCTACAATGGATACATTCCTGTGTCTGAGACCTATAGAAAGGGATCATCAGAAGTTGGTCCATAATTCCAGCTTTCTGCCATTGACTTCTAATAATTCAGTACCCTTGCCCTTGGTCTTGATCACCCCAACTGTGCAAGGAGGCTTAACTTCACTCTTCAATCCTAAACCTGAATTGTGAGGTACTCTAGGGCTCAGTGTCTCATTAGCCTCTCCTGGAAAACAGGCCTGGCTCACCGTTCAGAGGAGAGCTTTGCTTGTTCCTGCACAGTGGTTGGGCAGTTCTGGGGCACCAGCTTTGAAGCAGAAGGCCCCACCCACCCCTCTGGCCACTCTCTCAGTCTCATCCAATATCCAGCTCTGTTGAGGACCATTAAATGATGTCATCTGTGCAGTGCTGCCTGTGAAAGCAATTTGGGTAGCTTGATCCCATTGGTTTTTATGTTTAGGATGAAAGCTCACGGAGAAATTATTAACTTCATGCTGACGCCTCCCTCTGGGTACCTACACATGTATTGTGAGTCGATGGATCAACTATAAAGGGAGAAAACCTTGTGGTCAGTGCCAAACTATGCCTTTTATGTTTCTTCATTACAGGAACAGGGGAAAATCGGAGTTGTCTTCAATATCGGCACAGTTGACATCTCCATCAAAGAAGAGAGAACCCCAGTAAATGACGGTAAATACCACGTGGTCCGCTTCACCAGGAACGGCGGCAACGCCACACTGCAGGTGGACAACTGGCCAGTGAATGAGCATTACCCCACAGGTACATGTTCTGCTCTCAGTGGTGTACTCTGCTTTTGCTCTCCCTTTCTTACTTCCACGTGGTACTTTTCTCATGACCACCTCTAAGTCATAAAACACTGAATAGTGAGTGCACATTCTGTGTTTGTGTGTGTGAGAAGATATACATAGTTTCCTCAGGGCTTAGTCCAGCGTAGGGAGCTTCTGGAGACTCACTAACTCTGCACTGAACACATTTTGCCAACCCGACCAATACTGCCTGACTGGCTCATACCAAAGACAATTATTGTAGGGTTTCCAGGGTGCTGCAAATGGTGAACTGTGCCTCGGGGAACGGGGCCATCTTTATCTCGAGCTCTCGTTGGTCACCACAAAACAATCAACTTGAGATCAAGACTTTATGGTACCATTTAGTGAGGTGTGGTGGAAGGTGCACATGGCCAGAGATTGTAGAAAGACTGTGAAAGGAAGTCTATGAACTGGAATGGATGAGCAATAAGTCAGGGTAACAGAAACGCTAAGGATAGGATTTCATGCATTTGGTTGACTTCGCCAATTTTTTCTTCACTGACACTAAGCCTGCCTTGATATTCAGAGATGGGTCCTAGTAGGCGTTTTAATAGCAAGCATTCTGGTGTGGGAGGGAGAGGGATTAATCATCTGTTTAAATTTTATAATCAAGGAGCATTTGCCAACAAACTCCCAGAGCCAGATGGCCGAATCAAGGGCAATGGGAGGGAAGGTTGCCTTCTTTAAAAGAGATCATTTAAATAATCCCTTGGTTTTCCCTCCCATCTCTCACATATCCCAGGAAAAGAGCCCTGAATCCTGATCATAATGTTTCAGGAATGGAAGGGAAAATGCTTTGGCGAAGGGCCTTTGCTCCACAATTGTTTCATTGCCTGGAGAATGCGAGAGAATGGCTCAGAATACTGAACTTTTCATGAATGTGGGCATGATGCTGACTCTCTGTCAATCTCCTACACTCCCAAATCCCCATAATTTCCTCACTTTTATCCTCTCACTTCCTGTATAGTGAGGGATGCACAGAGGCGAGAAAGCCAGAAGCACATTTTCGGAAATATAAGAGCTGTTTAGCTAATAATCATTGTGGCCCAAGAATTTTGAATAACTTGAAGCCTGGGATTATGTTTTCATGCCTACCTCAGCATTAATTTTCTTTAAAAGCCAATCAGAAGTAACTGTGCTACTGGGTTTCCCCCGTAACAGCCAGTCTTCCTGAGTCTGGTTGAAGAATGATGGGAGTATCCGCAAACAGTATGCACAACTCCCCAGTTATTAAAGTAGAAAGCCCCACCCACCCCTCTAGCTTCTCTCTGTCTCATACAATATCCAGCTCAGCCTTTGCTGGGAGTCTCTTGTCATACACTTAGTGCTTCTTAAATTAAGTCACGAAAAATGACCTTATGCATTTGTCTCTGAGACTTTGAAGAGAGCCAGAGGTGTTAACAGCTACTGTGAATTTTTATCATCATCTAAATTCACTAGACACCAACAGACCTGATTTTTAAATGCTTCTTGCTTGAACTCTGGGGGGTGTAGGTTATGGGGATATCAAAATAGCTTGAGGTTTTAAAAGCTGTTTATTTGCTCATAGGAAAAATTGGTCTCTCTCCATGCATGTTATCATTGGCCCTGCTGGAGCTGCTGTAGGGTTTGCTATGTTTTTATTAGGAATTTCAAAGATTTCTAAATTGATATTAACCACTTGCCCTGAGCCAATCTAGAGTTGGCTGCCAGCAATGAAAGGGCTCTTTAATGGCCATCTTAAAGCCACAGATACGTAAGGAAACCAGTGACTTTTGCTTTGTGCCTACCTCTTTGTATTTTTAGTTCCAAATTAGGATTGCTTCCTATATTTTCCAAACAGAGGGAAACCTTTCTTTAGTGGCATTGGTCCCACTGAAAACTATTATTACTAGTAACTGTTATTTGGTAATAATACGTGTTATTATTGTAGGACGTGATATAGTGTAGCCGTTATAAGTATGGGCTTTGGACGCAACTGGCTGGAGTTGAGATGTTGGTGCCATTAGCTGTGAGTCTAATACAGGCTGGATGAAGACCTTGAAATGCCCTAGGCCCTGAAATATCTAGTGCCTCTCTCCACAGGGAGTTTATAATACAATAACACTAAACCATAAGTATAAGGATATCTAACAGTTCTGTTTTTTTCTACTCTAATGATCACTATAATTCTTTAGAAATATATCAGATTCTTTCTCCACGCATCCTAATATTTTATTGTTTTCTTGGTTCCCTAAGTAGATGCCTATTCTTCCTATTTGGTGATCTAGTTCCAAATCTTGGGAAGTTATTTAACCTCCGGAGTATTTATTTCCTAGTCTGTAAAATGTTAGTAATGATAGCACTTACTTTCCCAGGTTAATGTGAAGACTAAGTGAGTACAGATAGATTAATGGGAACAGATATAAATGCTCAACATAATTCTGGGTCAATCAAGTTAATACACAATAAATGTTACCTATGAAGATTACCAAACATTTGGGTAGCACTTTTTTTACTATTGCATATTCACTCATATAGATTACTTCACTTTGACTATTAAACTGGGTAGGGTGGATTTTCTCTTTCCACATTTCAAATTTAAAGAGACCCAGGCAGATGCTGTGTCTTTTCTAAGGTCAGATAGTGAATGAGGGACAAAAACTAAAATCAGGTTCTTCTGTTCTCAGCTGGGCACGACCCCCTCTATTGCCCCACAGTAAATTGGGGGACGTTTTGAAAAGTGCATAGATAGAAGTGATCATCATTCCTAAGTTTCTTTCTTTTTTAAGTGTCATATTACATGTGTGAGTATAAATAACCATATGTAGATGGTTATTGGGAGATGTGGATCTGAAAACCCTCCTTTAAAAAGAAAAGTTAGTTTAGTTGTGCTAAAAGGCTCGTTTGTAACGAGTCCAAGCTGTGCTGACAAGGTCGATGCACTTCCATGAAGCGATTGGAAGAGACAAGGTCCATGTGCTTCCATGAAGCGGTTGGAAGAGGACTGGGTATGTGGAGGGGCTCTCTCCTTACTCTGTTGCCTGGATGGGAAAGTATAACATTCTAGTTCCACACTCCACTCTTCCAACACTTCCTAGGAGTAGCTCACTTAGAGCTTTGGATGCCTTCCTTTCTCTCCTGCCTGCTTTCCCGGGAGACTGAAAAGATCCATTTAACACAATTTAAAGCACCATTAGAGCAATCTGGCAATGTTTATTAACCTCTATTAAACCATAAGAGCAAAACACCCCCTGTATCTGGCCATCAAAGAACAAAGCCACCTTAACACAGTTTCTACAGAAGTGATGCATTCTTGTTTTCCCAAGCTATTCTATTTCATTGATAGTAATACATACAAAAACCATCAAGAGGAGTTCAGCTGTGCTATTTCTCTACTGCTAAAGTTTAAACAGTGAAGAAATATGAAGTGACTCCTATAGGATATTCACCCAAGGTATCTCATTCTGAAGACAAGCTCTCAGGGCATCCTTGCTACTCAACAGGTCCCTGTGTATCAGGGTGACTGGACCACCTCCAGAATCTTCTCATGAGCGTTTATGGGATTTTAGTGCTCTACTGAAACATCCCACTGCGAAATATTTAGAAACCAGCTGGGCACAGGGCATGTAGCATACATGCTCTTTGTGAATCAGGAAGGATCCAAAGCGAAAACAGTTCTACAGCCATTGGAACCTTACATCACTCAGTTCTGGGAACTAGAACTGCAAAAGTACCTTCTTTGTTTGAATCTGAAAATCAAAAGACTGAGGAACAAGAGAGGGAAATAAAAGAAGAATCAGCCCAAAGCTAGCACCCAGACACTGACGGGATGTTCTTTATAAAGCTTCTGATTAGTGTCTTAACACAATGCAGTGGTGAGGAACAAGGAGGGGAGACGAGAGGCGAGTTGAACATGAGAAATTAATTTTAGCCCTAGCTCTAGGCCCCCTGGGAGGCTTGGCTGTCTGGGATGGTTACAGGATTTCTCTCTGCGATGAGGGGGTGGCTGGCTGTGTCATCAGGTGTGTGAGAACCCTGAGCACCGTGCAGTGAGGGCTTTTCAAGGTAGAGCCGGGGTTCCTGGAGAGTGAAGACCGATACGCAGCTCTGATGTGTAGGGTTTCCCATCTCGATGGCAGGTGTTCAGGAGAGCAGGGCCTCCGCTGTTGTTTTCCCTTCTGCATGTTGCAATCCGAGTCAACTGAAGTGATCTTGACTGGAATTCCCTTCCTGAGTCCATAAACTACCAACTGGTGACCTAAGCTAACATCCTACTTGATCACCCAACTCAGAACAAGAAAAGGATATAGAAATAGTTCCCCTTCTAGGGCCCTACATGAGAACACTCCATTTTTATATCTGGGTGTGTCGGATTTCACAAAGCCTTGTCTTTACAGGGATTGCGAGTCAACACATTGGAGTATGCTTCCTGATGTTCCAAGGGTCTTCATGAGCATGGTTACGTCGGAGCCTCCCTCTGTCCTATGAGGGAACTGGGTTTACTATTGTTGTTACTGCTATGCCCATTTTAAGGTTACATCATTGAGGCTCCGAGAGGTGAAATAAAGTCACAATATCACACTGCTTTAGGGGTACAGCCAAAATTCCTGTTCTGATGCTTAGATTGCCCTACATCCAATTTCCGGCACATTTTTCTATTTCTCGGAGTCAGGCTTTGATTGATCCTGACACTAGCTTTTTAGATGTTTGTTTTGACTCTGTCCATCAAAAGTATTCTCAACTAGAAGTTCCTGCCAGACTAGCTTAGTTAGGGTTTCTCGGCTTGGCAGTCCGGGCGTGCTGTGCTGGAAGGTTCTTTGCTGTGGCAGGCTGTCCTGGGCATCGTAGGAAGTTCAGTGGCATCCCTGGCTCTACCAGCTGCAAGCCAGTAGCATCTCTCTAGTACCAAATGTCCTTTGGGGGTCAACATGGTCCCCAGTTGAGAATTATTGAGTTAGAGAAAGTCTCCAAGATAGTTTATTTTAAATGCTT